AGCCTCAAGACTTCAGGGAACTGCAGGAGCTGGTTGTGGAGGAACCTCAGGTGGCTTCTGGTGGATGTTGGTAGAAGAGCCAGGCTGGCTTGGGGCCAGAGAGCAGGGCCTGGAGACTCACTGCTGAATTACAGTCTTACTCGAGTGAGTAGACACTTACTCAGCCCTGAGTACCCAGGAAGAGGTTGCAGAGGAACAGCATATGGAAACATCTTGCAGTGGTGACATGGCTCTTCTGAAGTTGGATGGCACCTGGAGCAAGGCGCAGTTAGCAGGGGCCATGGGTGCTGCTGCTGGCCTGGTCATTTAGCAATGTGGTCGCCTCTGAGTCCCTCCTAGGGATTCTGAAGCATGACTCAGTTCCTTGGAGGGCTTAGGGAGGGGTTAGGTGATGAGGGTCAAGAAAGAAGGGACAGATGGCTGGAGTGGGATGTTAGCAGCTGGTGGCCTTCTTGAGGGGGCTGAAGGAGGGGTGGTGGCCTCTCCAGAGTTTTCCAGCCCTTGATGGTACGGGCTTTCCCTCAGTCCTATTTGAGTGCTGTCTGAGGTGGGGCCTGGCCAGAACTTGTGTGTGAGCGGAGTCCTCCCAGGTCTGTGCTCCCAGTACTCTGGCGACTTTTCCACCTCCCTTCCCTCAGGAAGCTCCAGCAGTTAGTTGTACAAAGCCCTACCTCTTCTGATGTTTGAAGACAGGTATTATGACTCCTGCGTTTTACAAATGAGAAGATGGAGGCTTGGCGAGGGGATGTGACTTGCCTAAACTTCCAGAACTTATAAGTGACTATACTGGGATGTGGCTGGGAGAGGCAGAATCCATGCCAGCCAGCTTAGGCACAAGCTGTGGGCATGTGGGGCTGGCCCAGGTTAGAGGATGTCCATCCCTTCCCAGTTCACTCTGTGTGTGGGCTTCCTTCTTTTGGGCAGGGTTCCTCATCCCCTGGGCCCACCAAGCTTCCTCCTCTCAGCTCTCATCACTCAATATAGCCCCCAAAGGGGAAGAAACTGTCCTCTTGAATTCTAATTAGAAAACTCCCAAGGAAGGAAGGGCTTTGATTGGCTCTAGGCATTGTGATTGGCAGCCCTTTCAGGAGCCCCTGCGGTGAGGGAGCGGAAGCAGATCTTCAGAAATGGACTCCTTCGTAGAAGGAGGGTAACAGATTTACACAAACAAAACCCAGTCCCTGACCTTGTGCCAGCAGACCCCACTCCATGTCCTAGCTGGACTCAGATCTCCGAGCCACCCCTACCACCACCCAATGAACTTCGTAGTGCCTTTCCCTGTGCTCTCGCCCCCTCCTTCCTAGCCCTGGACTCCATCAGCTGGGCTGAGCTGTGATGTATGCTGCCCGCCCCTCTGGTACCTTCTTCTTTTGCATCTGGTTTGAGGAGGAAGCCGAGTGTCCGCCTTGTTGATTCTGCTCCATTAGCAACCTCAGCTGCCAGCAGACACTTTTGACAGCTTTAAGACCTCTCCCATTTTAAGACAGAGCTTTCCTTGGGTGAAGCCTGTGCCTCGTGACCCCAGAGTCCCAGCCCAGACTTGCCGTGTGACCTTTAACCCTGTCTGACTTGGGTTTCCTTATTTGTAAAATGAATTGGCATGATAGCCCTTCCATTGGGGGTGATTTCTAACAACCTGCTATTTGTTCCTGGGGCTAAAATTTCTTTTTTCTCTTTCTTCTTTCTTCCTTTCTTATCTTCCTCTCCCTTTCCCTCTCTCTCTTTCCTCCTCCTTTCCTCCCCCACCAATACTAGAGATTGAACTCAAGACTTTCACACTGAACTCCATCCCAACTCCTCCTCCCTTTATTGAGAGAGGGTCACTAAATTACCCAGGCTGAACTTGAATTTGTCATCCTCCTGCCTTAGCCTCCCAGGACACTGGTACCCAGTTGCTTGAGTTTCATTTTCTAACCTCATTACCCTTATTTTCTCAGCTTCCACTCATCAGCCCTTCATCTGTGGCGTAAGTGTGTTCTTTCTAAAATGCAGGATCAGGCAGGACCACTGCCCTGCTCAGAAGCCTTATGTAGCTCCTAGAATTAGCCTAGAAGTCAAGATCCTGGGTAAAGCGGCCCTTTCTTACCCCTCTTGGCCCATCTCTCATGTCCAAGCCTGCTATGCACCTTTCCTGCTGTCTGCACGACCTTCTGCATTGGCAAACTACCCTTCCTCCTTCCAGACCCAGTGCAGGCAGCCCCCTCTGTGATCCTGCTGGCCCTGACCCCCACCCCCATGCACCCACCAATCAGCACTCACCGGGCCCTCACAGCCCTCGGCACACACTGTCACTGCCACACTGGTGACACAGGTGAGCCTCACTTTCCTCGTCTGCAAAGTGGGAATATTGATAACCCCTACCCAGGTATTCAGAGCATGACTTAAGATGATTCATTCTGTCTCTGTCCCTCCGTCCCGCCCCATCTCTCCCCTGGGACATGCTGAGGCAGCTGTGGATGTAGCTCAGAGGCAAAACACTTGCCTAGCATGTGGGTGGCTCTAGCTTTGATCCCCAGCAACATCCCCTATTGCCCCTCCCCCAAACAGCTGAGAAACATTTTGTAGGTGTTACTGACTCCTGCAGTTACTCCTTCCTGAGCGTCAGTGCTATCTCACAAATGAGACCACAGATGGACTCTGTCCAGGATCCTGAATGGAATTTCTCTTCCAGGAAATAAGACGGCAAGGCTGAAGGACCCACCCAAGGTCAGCAACAGCCTCTCCTTGACTTCTAGACACTGTGGTCCTGGGGGAGCAGATCATCTGTATCTCACTCCTAGGGGATGTCCAAAAAAACACCACTTAAACTACATACAATTTAATTTTTTTGACATTTTAAAAAAGTTTTAAAAGTTGAAGTTAATTTTAATAATAGATTTAACCAATATATTAAAATTTTCATTTTGACACATAATCAATATAGAACATTACCAAATAGTTTACAGTCCCTTTTGGTGCTAAGTCCTTGAACTCTCGTGTGTGTTTTGTACACACAACATGTCTCAATTCTGTCTTACCGCATTGCACATACTCAGTATCCACCTGTGGCTGGTGGCTGCCACCCTGCCACACTGGACAGCACAGTTCTAGGCAGAGCAAAGGTGGTTCCCTTGGGCAAGTCTGTTCAGTGTCCTCTGATGAAAGGAAACTCCGCGTGATCTACCTCAATGCACCATAGAGAGGGTCCCAAGGAAGTGATTTAATATGGTGCCAGCTCAAAGGAGGTCTGTATCGGTCACTTTCCCCTTGCTGAGACCCACAACTTAAAGGAGGAAAGGTTTAATCTAGTTCATGGTTTCAGGAGGTTCAGTCCAGGGTTGGCTTGCTTCAAGTCATGGGGGAGCAAAACTGCTTAGTTTACAGCAGCCAGGGAGCAGAGCAGGGGAACAGCGGCAGGGAGGCACAGACAAGGAATTATACATAGTATCCTATTTCACACCTCTAAGACCCACTCAGACATAGCCAGATCATGCTCTACTAATCTGCTAGGTATTTTTTAATCCAATAAAACTAACATTTCAGCAATAACAGTCACAAGGACCCAAGTCTGAAATCTAGATATTCTGGAAATAACAGTGGGCACAGAGAAGGTGTGGGGAAGTAGGAGATGCTCCTACCTTTGACACTTTTGATACCTGTGAGTTGGTATCAGGCTTGTCTCAGCAGGGCTGGGGGAAGGTTGGGTTCCTTCTCCTGTCCCTCCCTCCACGGCCTGTCATCTTCCCTCCTAACTGAAAGCCCCTGACCCTGAGAGAAGGGAAGCAGCGTGGGGCTGGCACTTGAGCACATAGTACAACTCAGTTGGGTTTCATTCCCTTCCATTAGGTACCAATTAAAAGGAAATTAGGTGGTTGATGGGTTGAGGGAGGACCCGGGGCAGGATGCCTCTGACTTCTGCCTTGCTGGACTTGTTTTCCTCTGTGCTCCCTCATGTCCACGTTGGAATTTTCATGGGGCCCACAGTTGGGACTTTCTAGTACCCCAGTCTGTCCCCCTCGTTCTTTATTTTACTCCTTTAAGGGCACCTACTCCAGAAAGACTATCCCTTCTCAGGTCCTCAAGACACATGTTAAATGTTCAGAGTAAGGGAGATTTTGTTGAGGATTTTGTCCTTTAAGCCTAGTGGAAACCAAGGGAAGGTGTTGAGTAGAGGATTAACTTCATGAGATTTATATATTAAGGGGATGCCTAGGTAGATGTCTCTGGAGAGTGAGGGTGGAGTCAGATAGACTAGTAAAGAGCACATGGGGGAGACTTTAGGGGGTGCTGTGGTGGAGGAAGGGCACCTATATGTGTGTAGTGAGTAGAACTGTCAGCCATGGTGTGGGCTGGGCACAGGAGAGGAGCCTGGGGCTTTTGTCTCACCCACCTGTGAGGGTGACCATGCCATTGGCTTAGGGGCGCTGACAAAGACCAGCTTTGGGGAAGACAATAGTGAAATGGGCCTCAGACATGTTAACTTTAAAACAGTAAAAGAAAGATTTCAAGTAGAAAGTAGGTGGTTGAACACACAGGGCTGGAACTAGGAGGGTTCTGGCTAGAGTTGTTGATGTGGCAGGAAGCCAGGTTGGAGTGAGCTGTCAAGTGAGTGGAAGGTGAAAAAATGAAAGTAGTATAGACAGTTCTTAAGATGGAGCTTTGAAAAGGAGGAGAAAAACTCAGGACCTGCTGTAGGCTCTGAAGGTGAATTAGCTGCAGAGGATACCTTACTCCTCCCCAAGATCCTACATAATGACAACCTAAAAATAACCAGCCCACCACCCTGAGAGGCAGGGTGCTGAGACCTAGGAATGGATAGCATCACAGAGATCAGTTCTGCTTATTTGTGGGGCTGCAGGGCAGCCACAGTTCTTGGAGCGGGGCCAAGGGGAGTATTGGGCACTTGACAAATTCTTATTCTAGGCTGACAGAAGGGAACTCCGGACACCCCGAGGAAGCTGCCTGGTGCAAGATGGAAATGTAGGCACATTACCCCAGGCTCCCTGCAACCCCCACCCCGACCCAGCTCCTAAGTAGACAAGAGCAGGGACAGACCCTCCCCCCACGCCTCAGCTTCCCACTGTGTGCTCCAGGTTGTATGTCCCTGTCTCCTGTGGTGGCACTGCATGACTCCGCCATCAATCCAGGCATCCCTAGAGTCAACCAAGAAAGTCAATATTTAATTTGGGCACCATGTTAATGCCATCGATCGCCAGCCCCCCCCCACTTCCTCAGGCTCATTTGTCACTTCCCACTAACTGCATGCCTTGAGGGTGGGACGGGGTGCTGGAACCCAGGGGCAGCGTAGCTCAGCCTGGGCTTGGCTTGGGGAAACTGGCCCGTATTTGGGGGTATAGCCCTGAGCCACCCAGCTTCCTACTCCCCCTGAAAATCACTGATAGGCTTTTTCTGAGTTTCCTGAGCCCTGTCCCTGGGGAGGGGTGGTCAACTAGGGACTTCAGGTCCACACATAGAGCAGCTGTCATTGAGGGCTTCATGAGTGTGGAAAGGATGGCACATGTACAGTAAACCATTGTAAGACAGCAGTGAGGACAGATCCCAGAACCCAGAGTCCATGGGCTGCATAGGATCAGCTTCTGGGTCCTTCTCCCTCAGGGCCCAGCATATGCCTGTAGAACCCACATGAGGGCTCTGAGATGCAATGAAGCTTTATCTCTAGGTCCTGGAAAGGGTTTGGGAGAAGTGTTGAGCTTAGAGGCTTAGATACCAGGTGGGCAATGAAAGGGAGACTGTGGGAGGGCAGGACCCATCTCTAGGCTGGGCTAGCTCCATTTTATTCTTGTTGGCTCTGTGGACCAAATCGTGGGCTGTGCCCCTCTGGCCATATCACATCACGGAGGGGACAGCTGGGTGAGCCCTTACATTCAGCAGTGGCTGACCCAATGGGCCATCCACCTCGGGGCGTCAAAAGGGCAGCAACAACACGTATGCACACACGACAGCGGAAAGAAAATCTTATCTGGAAGTTTGCAGTTGGGAGGCTGAAGCAGGAGGATCACTGTGAGTTCAAGGCCAGCCTGAGCTACATAGTGAGACTCTTGTTTTAAAAAAAAAAAAAAAAAAGGCTGCAATTGAAAATTAAAAATAAGTGCTTTTCATTCCAGCCTATGTGCAAGTGTGATGATTCATGGGATAGCATAATTTCCATTTTAAATATATAAATATATTTCATTGGATAGGGATCTACATGTGTTTAACTTACCCAGATAGGCCCCCACCCTGAGCTGCCCAAGGACTCATTGGTGGCCCAAGTAGCCCCCTCTGAGCCACTAAGTCAAGCCTTGAGCCAGGGGAACCTGACTCAGTCATTCGGCCATCACTACCTGTGCTGGACCTTGGATGAAGCCCTGTCAGTATCAACATGAGGAAGACATTGTTTCTAAGAAGGATGCCAAGGCTGAGGAGCTGGAGGAAGGGATGGATTTTCTTTCCAAGGCTTCCAAATGCTCTTTGAAATCAAGGCTCCTCAGACAGCCCAAGAGGCCAGGTATAATCTGGTCTCTGTCCACTGCTCTGACTCTCCTGTCACTCTCCCCTTGCTGACAGCTTCAGCTACATGGTCTCCTGTCTGCTCCTTGAATATATTTTATGGTTTCTCCTGCCCCAGGACCTTTGCATTTGCTGTGTGACTTTGAAAGACTTTCCTGGTTTTCTACTTCGCTGGTTCATCTTTTGATTATTGCTCCAAAGTGCTCCAGAAAGGCTTTGGTTACCTCTTGCTCTCTCTCTCTCTCTCTCTCTCTCTCTCAATTGTTTTTTTTTTAAATTACATCATCCTAATCTTTCCACTTTTTTATTTTTTTCTGATCTAAAATTATACCACCTATTTCCTGCCTATCATCAGTCTCCCCCATTGGACTGAGAGCCCCTGAGGGCAGAGAGTCATATTCACTGATGCTGGCACATGACAAGAACTTAATAGATATGTGTTGCTGAATGAGTGAATGAAGAGACACTGGGAGGGGGGCATCCAGGAAGCAACTGGAGCCAAGTGTTTGGGTCTCAGCACCCTGCCTTAGGCCGACTGTGTCTGTCTATGCCTGGGGTGGGAAGGCCTTGCTCAAGCAGGCTGGGAAGCGGGGAGCCCCAAAGGACACCAGCCTCAGGGCATGCATATTGCAGAAGGCTCATTCTTTGAATATTAACTTGCTGCTGGACTGGCAGCCCTGACTGTTTCTGAATTTTTCACTGTCAAGGCCAATAGCTGACTAAAGATGGGGGCTGGGAGAATAGCGTATCTGCATCCAGAAGGCCACATACACTTTTGTGTGAGTGTCATACGCAGCTGTTTAGGCGTGGGCTCGCTCCCAAGTGGCTGTGCATGGTGCTGTGTATGCAGCTGTATGTCTGAGCATGAACATGTTCTGCCTTCAGGGGGCCCGTGGGCACAGAAAGAAATTAGGTTTTACATGCCATTGCTTCCAAGCTGAACGGAGGGAAGGAAGGGCTCTTGGAGACCATTGAGTTCTACTCCCTCCATTGTACAGGCAGGAAAACTGAGGCCCAGAAGGGTCACACCATGGTTACACCACGAGTCCACAGAGGAACAGACTACAGTGAGCACTTAAGGAGAACCTATGCTATACCTGGCATGCTGGCCCCTGGGGACTCACGACAGCAGAGAAGGGGCTTGGAGAAGAGCGAGACAGCCATGGGCACAAGCCCGCAAGGCTCCCGCAAGGGGAGGACAGCTCTCCTCTGCCTTGGGGGAGGGTATCAGGCAAGACTAAGAGAAGGAAACACCCTGAGCTTTGAAGACTAATTGAAAGGTAGCAGACAAAGAAAAGGGAAAGGGCTCTCCAGGCAGAAAGTGCCACATATGCAAAGGCACAGAGGCATGAAACAGCCGGGCAAGGCTGAGGAATTGCAAACAGTGTGTTTCAGCTGGAGAGGAGCATGCAAGGATGGGCTGTAGAGATGAGGCTGTGAGGGAGGTGAGCTGTGACCCCTGTGGGCTTTGTGGGCCTTGAGTGGGTATGGATTTTACTCTATTCCAAGGGCTATGGGGCAGCCACTGAAGCAGATTTGAAATTTAGAAGGATTTCTGTAGCTACCGTGTGGAAAAGTGAATTCGACAAATCCATTCTGAGCAAGTACTTACTATGTGCCAGGCACCACGCTGGGCCAGGAAGATCCAGTTCTGAATGGGGCACACAGGTTTCAGCTCTGTATTGGGGATGTACACAGACAGGTGTAGCGGATAGGAATCTTGGCATGCAAACAAGAATACTGTTTCTATTCTCTGTAAACCAACTCCAGTCGGACTCACTCTTTCCTACAAATTGGCAGAAAGGCATCTCAGTCATTCCCAGGCACCTAAGTGTGGAGGAGGTGCCTCCTGTCTTCTGTCACACAGAGATGCCCGTTGTCTTGGTCCACATGGTTCCTGGAGATTCGATGACTGCTATTGCCCTGCTACTTTGGGAAACTGAAGCCAGTACCCCAGGCCTGGGCTCCAGCCTCCCCAGGAACATCACCACCATCCCCACAGCTCCCATCACCTTTCAAGGGGAGACACTATTGCGCACAGGACCCCCACTTCTGTCCCCTGGCAGCTAGTTGCTATCTCTCCTTTCTCTGTCCTCTTTATTGCCAGGGAACACCTAACACAGTTGCTTGCAGAGATTACTTTTTCAAAAGTCAGAACGCTCCACCAGACTTCAAGCAGCTTTTGTGTCCAGCCGAACGCAGTTCCCCAAGGCTGGGAAAATCAAAGGCCTTGGCTACCAGCTTGGAAGCAGGAGGGGGAAACACAGGGGAGCAAAGCAATTCCCGTCTCAATAAGTTGCCCTGTTTCTAGAGTGACCAGGTGGTTAAAGATCCAGGCCGTGGCTGCTCTGTGAGGGCAAGTGTTTACTGGGGGCCTCTGGGAGCTCAGATAGGGCACCTAATTCACACCGGGGGGATAGGGAAAGACCACCCAAGGAGAAGAGTTCCTGCCAGATCCAGCCGAAGAAAAAGATGGTTGGGAAAGAGATGAAAATGGAGGGCTGCCCTGACTGGACGGAATGTAGAAGGAGCCTTTGAGAGTGATGCCAAGGTTTCAAGAGGTGGGGCTGAGTGGTAGAGACTCTTTTAAGTACTGAGTCAAGGTTTGGAGGGTATCTGGACCATCAGAGCCACAAGCGTTTTAGTCAAGGAAGTGACACAAGCAGATGTGTATTAGAAACACCATGTGGCTGTGAAGAGTGGATGAGGAAGAGAGCAAAATCAGAGGCGGAGAGAGCAGGTGCTTCAGGGACACTGAGAAGAAAGGATCCAGAGATGATCACAAGGAGGAACAAGACTTGGAGCTGAGGGGAGGAGGACAGAGGTCAAAATGGCTCC